CTGGGAGGTATACCAAAAACTTAGAAGTGTTGACAAAAACTTCGGTTGGAAGCTGGTCGAACCACAACGGAGCCTCCGACTTGAGATATATAAATCAGCGAAAAAAGAAAAATGGGTTTTAATAATTATTCGACAATTATAACCGGCTGTGCTTGATTGGTATCTTGAAAAGAGGGCTGTGCAACCAAATGTCTAGTAGGAAATCTGTAGGGATATTTTGCAGCCGCGCTGGTCCCCGTGAAAGGCCATCGTCGCGCATCTCATGAGGCAGTCAGGAACCTCATGGTGGACTGCGAAACCCTCGACTGGACTTGCAACTGAAAAGTACGCCTTGAGACAGAAATAATACGAGAAAGCAGACTGTTCGTGCCTGGATGGGTCGATGCGGCTCTTCAAGGGGGACTAACTGACTCGTTCGCCTGGAGATTGTTGGCCCGAGGACACCGCGGAGCCAGGCTGCAACGAAGTAAGATTCTTCTCAGCTCTCGCCACCGCGTTAGCATCATTCCCCAACGCGGCAATTCCCTTCCACCCTCGCAAGGCTTTTAGCTTTCATCCCAACCATTTTCAAACCGGTGAGTAAGTAGCTTGCCCTTGGGGCGGAGTAGTAGTGCAAGCTCGATACCAAAGGTGAGTCCGTGGCCCAAGGCAAAAGAGAAGAATGGCGGGTATGTTTGTTTATTTGGATGAGTTAAAAAGTTTTGCTTTGAGGTTCTGCTTTTTTGTTTCTACCAAGCCCATTCGAAAGACGAGGGACCGCCGTTATCAATAACTTGTCTACAGTGACAAGTTTCTCTTCTTCTGCCTTGCGTCTGCTCCTGTGATTCACCCACGCAGCCAGCTATGTTGGCACTACCCCATACATGCATGCATACCGAACGTAAAGTAGCTCCATAATCGGCCACCCCGCCAGGCCAGGCTGGTAGGCGCCCTCTTCGTCATGGCCGGCGCTTCAATCGGCCCAATGTCAGACTCGGAAGAGGAGGAGGAAGAGAGAGTTCTGGTCATGCGTGCCCGGGCGTTGATGGGACCTCCCAGGATGGCCAACTACGTCGCCGCTTGCCGCAAGCTCGAGTAACCGCCCGAGCCGGCCCCCGAGCCGCAATTGCCTGTGCTCCTGAGCCCCACTGAGGGCATCTTATCATTCGCCGAACAGAGTCAGGGCTTTATGGGACTCTCCAAGCCGCCCAAGGGGGGGGGGGGGGGGGGGGTCGGCGAGCCACCAGTGACGGAGACGACAGAGATGATGCAGGTTTACCAGGTCAGCGAGACGCTATTGGCGAAAATGGAACTCGGATTTGAGATTTACAGCTATAATTAGATTGTGTATTGATGGTTCAACGGCCAAAGACAATTTTCAGCTGTCGTGTTAGGGGCCAAGAAGGACCTGATCTCCTGACGAGCTCATGACGAGCCAGTCGCCCACAAGCAACAAGCCCGCTCCCTCCTATGAGATGGCATACGGAAATGGCCGCGGTGATGTAAGTTGTACTCTGAACGGGTTCACTTATAGAGGAACCCTCACGGTTTCCCATACCGAGGAACTCTCACGGGCAGACCTATGTCGCCACGTCTCCCATTTGACAAGGATGGTGAGGACGATGGAAGTCGGCGACTTTGGACGCTTAATAGGCGTTTTGTACATGGACGCTCCTAGTGAGCTAGACAAGTACCAAGATGGAAGCAAAACAGAGATAGAGCATCGCGTCCTCAGACCACCGTACAAGAAGCCGATGTTTTAGCACTTCACGCTCCTTATTTTTGTCCCACACGGCAGCGAATTTGCTGAGCTTTCCTTCCAAGTGTGTATCCGGCCACTCAACTCTGCGCTCATTGCCATCGCTTACCAATACAACTTCAACTGACTCGTGCTCAACGCACCGAAAACGCCGTCAAAGACATCGGAGTCTCCTGGCTCCTTGGGGGTCGCAGCTGGTTGCTTCGCCTCCACGAACTCGACAACTACCCTCGCTTGGGCGAAGAGTAGTGTCCCCAACTCCTGGCTCGCCTCGCATGAGGCCGGCCCCCGCATCACGGCCCAGTGGACGCGGAACCAAAAACAGTGCGACTCGTGGCGGCAGGCGCGCTCCTGCACCAGATCATAGAGCCGGCACATGCGCAGCGGCGATGCATCGCCCTCCAGCGCGAGCAGGTGCCAGTGATATTTGCGTTGTCCCGGAGGTCATACCAGAGGCCCTCGTGGCGCTCGTCGCTGTGGAAGCAGCCGAGCTGGCGGACGGACGGCTGCGCGACGAGCATGCGTCGCCAGCTCGCGCTCCGGCGGAAGAAGTGATCCCGGAATGACTATATGTAGGCATCCTCGGGAGGGTCGAGATGCACGCTGCGCCGAGATGAGCAGCGTGGTCATCTCGATTTGGAGGAGGATGGCTTCGTGCAACTCCGGCACAGCGAGCACCGCTGCGACGGCCATCGTGGATTGTTGCTGCTTCGTCTGGGAAGACGACGATTAGATTTCAAGGCTGAATATTCGACGGCGATATGATGCTGTATCGTCACATAACCACCAGCCCATGGGTGCCGAGAGGAGGGGACCTCAAGCCACTGTACAGGTGACCCAATGGTTGGTGACTACGTCCAACACAAACGCGTTTGTTTGCATGAAACGGAGAATCTGACATCTTATAAAGAGTCTCATTAGTAAATTAGGACATTCCATTCATTCTTGTGAACTGGAAAGTTACAGCCCCGAAAGGTCTCCGTTTGCACGATGATCCCGTAGCTGACTCAGCTCCTGCGCCCCTGATGACTTGTAACTTCTCTTGACTCCCTCCCAAAAGCCTCTCTCCTCCATCATCCTCGCAACAGGCACCAGCTCCTTCGCATCGCTGCTGCCCGCATCTTCGCCCCGGCTGTGATATGTGATACTTTGGCGCACCTAAGACTCGCTATAGTCTCAGCGAGGATGAGAGAGCGCCGGTACTTATCGAAAGCAAACATTTACACGGCAGAGCACCCGGAAAGCTCTATGCATACATCTCATCAATACATCATGACGGTTCAACGATCAATAGGTGGAGCACAAATATATATTGAATTGGTGCGCATCGAAACCAGCACACGCAGAATGAACCCAGTTCATTCCCGCTCTCCCGAAAGCGGCCATCGCTACTTGTTGTACACATCCCGTGCGTGAAGTCGCCTCTGAGGGCTCCTATCCAGAAGATCATCTCTAGACAACCGATGGGTTCCAGTCCTCAAGCAACCCCAGAAGCATTCTTCACACCCGTTTGGCCCAACCACAGCCTCTCGCAGCATGTGATCTTGGGGCAAACTTTGCAGTCTGTAGCAGAGTCAGCATTGGTCTAAAATCACTACGGACCTCATGGATTCCACAACCTTACCATTGAAAAAAATCAAGGTTATGCCGAGTTCTCCTCTGAGCACTCGGTCGAGGCTGGAACCTCAGCAGGAACTTCAGCAGGAACCTCGGCAGGAGCAGCGGGCTCTTCCTCGGCCTCGCTCGCGCCATCAGCATCAACCGATCTGGCCTTGAAGAAGAAATCGTCATCGTCATCAAATCCGCCACCGAAGCCGCCGCCGCCGAAGCCACTGCCGCCGAAGCCGCCACCGGATCTGAAGCCGCCACCACCGTTGCTGAAGCCACCGTTGCTGAAGCCACTGTTGCTGAAGCCGCCGCCGCCGCCAAAGCCGCCGCCACCAAAGCCGCCGCCGCCGAAACGATCGGAGCCGTCTCCTGAGCTGCCAAATGGGAAGCTAGTGCCGAAGCCGGCACCCCGACGAGACACGGAGCCGGCCGATTCATCACCGGGGCGGGGAGTCGGCGCGGCCGAGGCTAGCCCTAGGAGAGCAAGGACAACTTGGACTTTCATTCTGGCGAGGAAGAGAAGAAGAAGAAGTAAATATGGTCGACGAAGGAGTGGAGATGGGTTCGAAGCGGAAAATGTGTAGTGGTTTGTGAGTTGTCTGGAGTATCCCGTCGTCGGCGGCGCATCCTTTAATACTTGAGCATCTGGAGAGGAGGGCGCCAAGGTGAGATGAAGTTTTGCGACGGCCATCTAGCTAGAATGCTTCAAGACGATAAAGGCTTTGCTGTGGACGGCAAAGCCATTGTTAGACATTAGATGGTTTCAACGCACGACAAGGGCTTCCAGCGACGGTTGGCCGAAATGCGATTCATCGCACGAGTCAATCCGCATCGTCAACATATTCCCGACTTCCGATAGCAGAATGTATTCCATCGGTATTGCTGCCAATGGGGCATAGTATGGCAAGCATGGACGCGCCCACACTTGGTGCGCTTTGATTGGACATTGTATTGCGATACATCTGAGACGAAGGGGTTGGAACACACCGGTAATGCCGCGCTCGGTGGTATCCGTACCTGAGGCTCGCTTACACCAGGTCTTTTTTAGCCTGTCAGTGCGATGACATGGACCCCATCTGGGGTTCTGCATTGCTCCCCGCCTTTACCCGCCCGTGATGCATAGATAGAGGCCTCCTTCCTGGCGATGGTGGCACATCTGAGACTTGGGTATATGTCAAATATGGTTGGAAGGCGGGCACTGCAAACCGGCGTAGTCTCTGGTGGCGGATAGACCGAAAGTCGCGCTGGCAAAGAAGGATGCGAAGCCATCATGATTGCAGATGGCCTGTGTCGGCGTGCTGTCCTGCTCGGCTGACGCGCCGAAGCTCGCCTCCCTAAGCGCTTGTTGGTTCCGGCCTTCCGGCCAACCCTGTGGATGCTCGGTGATACGGTTCTTCTTTGATTACGGAAAAGAACAAAAAACTACTCAATATTGGAGTGTAAGCTCGTCGGTATCCGACTGTGGCAGGCTTTCTCGCCTTGTTCATGATCCGGTCCCCCCAAACGCCTTACGGGTGCCGCCCTCCCAGCACAAACGCAGATTCCGCGGGCGGCGGGGCAGCTTCTAGGAGAAAGGTAAAATCGCACTGGAAATCCGAAAATTCCGAAAACGACCCTCACCTTGTCCAGATGCGACTTGGGTCCTCATGCGTGCGTACCTGGACGGTTGTTTTCCGCGGCCGATGGCTGGCGTCCTCCTGTGGTATCGCCTTGGGGGGAGGCATGGGAAACACGTATCAAGGCATATCGGATATATGAAACGGGGTTTGACTAGGCAAGAAACATAAAAGTTAATACACCGACACGTCGAAAGTTCAAGTTTGGATGGAGTAGCAATCAGCCTACCCTGCACCCTACAACCTGCGGCGTTGCGACAGGGAAAGTTCGCTCATGCGCTTTATAAGAGTAGTCAGTACACTGTATCAGTGTCGATACTATTGTTTTCCAGTCATCTACCCAACTGAAAATTACGACATTGCTTCGTTCAGTCTTCACCCATCATGCAGCCCTACTAAAGCTCGAGAGAGATGTTCTCATTTCAGGTTGGGCTGCTAAATAGTTTGCCCACAAGGCCATACAAGCCAGAAAAGCAAGACAATCTCATCTCATCTCCATTCGAGGCAGCAATGCACCGATAAAGTTATTCCCGCGTAATTAGGTCCTCTCGCTCGGCGCCGGTTCCAATCCACTTGATCTATATAGTCCTTGTTAATTCTGCTGAGACAGAAAAAAAGAAGATAGCACATCTATGCAACTGGGGTTAACTTACCTTTACACCCACGAAGCGCTCAATGTACTTGACGTAGTCCTGGGCCTCGTTGGGCAGCTCGGACCAGTCGCGCAGCTTGGCGATGCGCGTGTTCCAGCCGGACAGCTCGTCGTAGACGACCTCGACGCGCTCGAGCAAGGCGTGGTTGGCCGGGAAGGACGCGATCTCCTTGCCCGTCTCGCGGTCGCGGTAGGCGATGCCGACCTTGATGGTCTCGAAGGTGCTGAGGACGTCAATCTTGCTGAGCTGCAGGCTGTCGTAGTGGTTGACCATGCACGAGTAGCGCAGGGCCACGAGGTCGAGCCATCCGCACTACGCGCCGGGATTAGACGTGAAGTATAGTACGGGTTCCGGGTATACTGACTCTCAGCTTGCGGCCTATCACCGCGGCGTACTCGCCGCCGAGCTCTTGCAGGTGTTTTCCGACCTCGCCCGAGTCCTCGGTCGGGAACCCTCCGGGGCCGAGCCGGGTCGTGTAGCTGCGTCCTGTTAGTCTTCCGACAACAACCGTGTTGGGTGAGCTGAATGCCTTACGCCTTGACGACGCCAATAACCTCCTTGACGCAGCGGATGTTCAGCCCCAGGCCGGAGATGGCACCGCCCAGCCCCGCGCTCGAGCTCGTGACGTACGGGTACGTGCCGTAGTCAATGTCCAACAGGATGGCCTGGCTGCCCTCCACTACAATGTTCGCGCCCCTCTCCTCCGCGCGCGCCATGAACAGCACGCCGTCCACCACATGCTTCTCTATCGCCTCCCTGTAACCCCGGAAGCGCGCGATCTCGTCCTCCACGTCATACTTGAGCAGGGGCCCGAAGCGCTTACGAAACCCGTCGGCCAGCCGGCGCAGCTTGTCCTCAAAGGCGGCCTCGTCGAAGATCTCGGCGAGGCGGACGCCGCTGCGGACGGCCTTGGTGCCGTAGCAGGGGCCGATGCCGCGGCGCATGGAGCCGACGGCGCGGCCGGCGAGCTCCTCCTCTTGGGCGGCGTCGACGGCGGCGTGCAGGTCAAAGTTGACGTGGCAGCGATTGGAGACGAAGACGCGCTCGGCGGCGTCGGGCACGCCCTCGCGGATCAGGTCGGCGAGCTCCTGCAGAAAGGTCGGGATGTGGAAGACGACGCCGGTGCCGATGAGGGCGAGGCACTTGGGGACCATGAGCCCGGAGGGGAGGAGGCGGAAGTTGTGGTAGATTCCGTTGGCCTGGACGACGTGTCCAGCGTTGTGCCCGCCCTGGGAGGTAGGATGAGTTGGTCAGTAGGCGTGTAGATGAGGTATCGAAGGATGAAGTCTTTGGCAATGGCTACGAGGGGAGGGGCAGACAGGCCTCATCAACAAGATTGGGATTCTACTCACGGCCGCACGGGCAACAATATCAGCTTTGGAGCAAAAGATGTCGGTCAGCTTGCCCTTGCCCTCGTCACCCCATTGGGATCCGATGATGATTGTGGTCGGCATTCTTGTCAGTCTCGGATAGAATGAGGGCGGTAGGAGAGGAGCTCGACCAGCGATAGAGAAGCAGATTGAGATTGAAAGTCTGAGAGGCAGGCACGGAGAAGAGCGACAACTTTATGGGCATTCTGATAGCAAGACGCAGCATATTGGTTGCCCAACACAAGGAATCGTCCCGGGCCGCGATGTCACGTCAGCCATCAGTCTGTATGAATACTGCACACTGCATATTTTGAGGCGAGCTGCATGTCTCGCGCTATGCCTTTCCTCCCTCATCTGCGGGCCGCTCTCGTTGTCTTGGACGCAAGACCCTTCTGTGGATCAGCTGAGTGAAGATGCAGAGCTGAACAGGATATCCTGCAGCAATTAGCTTCAATTCCCGCATTCTTGGGTGTCTCTCCTGCTGGGCCGCGCAGGCCAATGGGTACAATGGCTGCATCTTGCGGCTGCAGCGATGCAATATTGCGCAAGCCTGCACGGTGGATTGTCCGAGGGCGGCTGGGATCTGAACTGCCGATGGAGACGTGATGCAGCAGGCTTGCTTTTCTGTATATATGATCCGTATGCAATACATCCTTGCTGAGACAGCCTCAATTGCAGCCCAATTGCGAGATTTGGAGATTTGAACCAGGGTTCTGTCTCTCCGCAAAGGCCAGAGCACTGTCTCACAGTGCCTGCACTGAACTGGCACGAGGCCTTTTTCCCCAATTGGAATATAATAAACATGAATGTGGCATTCTCGGAAAATTTACTAAAATACTATTAGTCATTCTTGTCTTTTTGTCCCCAAGACATTAATCAAAGCAGACATACCAAGTTAGCCGGCTATTGGCCCGTTGGGATCGGTATGACTTCATTCTGATCAGCGAAGTCTCCAGTTCAGCTGCTCGCTATTCCCTGTACCCTTGCCCTCAGGGTGCCACTGCCAGCTACTCTTGCGCGGTTGACTGGTTGAGTCATGTATCAAGGTAACAAAACCCGTCCTGTGTTACCAATCAACAGTGGTTAAGCCTATTGTGATGCTGTGATGCGTTGCTCAACTTGTCGCCGTCTTGCGTTAGTCATGCTCTGTCTGTCTTGTCGCAGTATCGTCTGTCATGTCATGTCTTGCCCTTCCGTCCATGCCATGTCTTTCACCATGTCATGTCTCACTCACAACGAGTTGGACCGTTGCTAAATCGCGGCTAGTCGCGTTTGCCTCTGAAAAAGAATAACCCCGATTGCAGCATATCGAGCAGGGTCTGGATAGCAGCAAGGAAGGAGGTTGTTCGCGTGCTACATATCCGTATCCGTACCTTCCTTGCCAATCGGGGAACATTCCGCCCACTGGACTTGTCCACTCGTGAATCTTCTGCAAGCACTGTCTGACTCTGACACCTTCTTCTTCCTGCTCACTCTTCTTCGAATGGCACTTCACGGTAAACATCACCTGTTTGCTGTTTGCCTTTCTAGTCTGCCATGTCTCCTACCCCAGACAACAACTGTCAGAACGACAATGCCAATGGCGGCAGGCCATCATCTCCAGAATTAACAGAGACGACGCCTCTTCTCGCCGCTGCTGCCAGCCGAAGCCATGACGTTCCTAGCTCAGATCCCAGTTCAGATCCCAACGCCACCACATCGGCTCATCCTCATCCTCATCCTCATCCTCATCCTCATCTCGAAGATGGCGCCGTCTCTTCCCGGCCGCCGCCGCCGCTCACCACCTCGGAAGCCATCCGGACGCTTCCCAAGCTGCAGATCCTCCTCCTCTGCTTCGCCCGCACCATGGAGCCCGTTGCTTTCTTCGCCATCTTCCCCTTCGTCGCCCAGATGGTCCAGCGCAACGGCCGCCTGGCCGACGCCGACGTCGGTTTCTACAGCGGCCTCATCGAGTCACTCTTCTCCGTCGTCCAGATCTTTGTCCTCATCGTCTGGGGCCGCGTCGCCGACTCGGTCGGCCGCAAGCCCGTCATGATCATCACCCTGACGGGCATGATGGCGTCGACCATGGCGTACACTATGGCCACGACGATCCCGCAGATGATTCTGTTCCGTTGTCTGGCAGGCGTCTTCTCCGGGTCGAGACTGGTGATGCGGACGATGCTGTTCGAGCACTGCACACCCGAGAACGAGGCCATCGCGTACAGCTGGTTCGGGTTCGCGAATAACATCGGTACCACACTCGGCCCGCTCATCGGCGGCGTGTTTGCCGATCCGGTCGCACAGTATCCGAAAATCTTCAAGGGCGTCGCCTTCTTTGAAAGGTTTCCCTACGCCCTCGTCGGCCTGGTCCTGACAGCGATCGGCATCGTTGGCATCCTCGTCAGCGCTTTCTTCCTGGAGGAGACTCTCAAACCGACCGATGAATCCGTCGCTTCTTCTAATGGAAGCAAGCCCGCTGCCCCCCAAGCTATGTCTATGCGAGAGCTTCTCACAGCCCCCAAGGTCGCCATCACCATCTGGGTCTACACGCACTTTATGCTCCTTGCATTCGCAGTCTCGGCCCTCACACCAGTTTTTCTATTTACCCCCGTTGCCATTGGAGGCACTGGCTTCTCTTCGTCACAAATCTCCATCTACATGGCGGTCCAAGGGGCAAGTCAGGCCGTCTGGCTCATTTTTGCGTTCCCGTTACTGCAGCGTCGCTTTGGCACCAGGAGCCTACTAAAGCTGTGCGCGACGGCCTACCAGTCCTTCTTCTGCGGCATCGTGCTCCTCAGTGTATTCCTCCGCTGCGGCGCCCAGTCTGCCATGGCCTGGGCGTGGGTTATCGGAGGTCTTCTCGCCGTCATCGGACCCGGCGTGTCCATGGGCTTCACCAGCGCGCAGCTGGCTATCAACGATGCGTCACCCAGTCGCCAGGTCATGGCCACCATGAACGGCCTCTCCATGACGAGCGCTAGTATCGCCAGATCGTTTGTACCAGCCGTTTCGACGGTCATCTTTGCCGTGGGAGTCAGGGGCCAGATCTTATGGGGCTATCTTGCGTGGGCTATTCTCGTTCCCCTGGCGATTGCCCTGAGGATATTCGTCGATTACATCCCTGGCAGCAGGAGAATATCTCACGATAATAAATGATGTATAATTACTAATAGAGACTCGGGCGCTGGTTACGGTGAAGCAATTTTGCTCCACAGTCGTATCTGTATAAAATGCTGTATTATTCATCTCATCATCGTTTGCATATAGAGCTGTATTCATCTCACCATCTTCTGCATATAGAGCCGCATTCATCTCATCATATGCCTTTTGCTCCACTTTGCTATTGACTGTCAAGATTCATTATTGATTCTGCTGCATAATAATGCATAGTCCCAATCTCCCGATAGACGACAATGCATGCAAGTTACTGGTCTAGCATTACCTGCAGGGCGCACCGGTGACCTCTCATTGATCCAGTAAGCACTATGATGGATTCAATAATCTTCTCCAGTAGTTGAAAAGTATCTTTTGTTACTTGCTTTTCTTTCTTGTACTGCTCGTCATCTTGGCTGCTCCTTTGTCGATGCTCTTATCTTTGGGTGCGAGCCTGGACCTTGTGCGTAGAGATCATCAGCCTGGCCTCTGCAGAAGGTTAAGACATTCGATGCACTACCCCTCTCGATCCTTTCATCTACATGCTGTCCTTATGTCTTGCGTAATGGAGCATCTCCAACGCCGAAGAGGGGTAGACTCAGTGGCAGGCAGAGTGCAAACTCCCATCATCTACAGCCCGGATGTAAGTCTCACCTGCAGGCGGACTCTTCTGTCCGTGCCGTTAACCACTTGGGTCACAGCCGCACCAATATCTTCAATGTGAGTAATAAACAAAAGAGACTTCCAAACCGTCGCAGCATGTCTCATCAGATCGCACGTTTTCTCATTGGCATAATAGTGTATTAGCATCTGTTTAGGGCTGGAAGATCTCGGTGAGGAGGCTCAGGTTGCTCCTCAAGAGACTTAATTGAAAGGAAAATTAATGAAGGGAAAGTGTCACTACAATGGTATTATATTCTTGACCCTCTGTATCATCGTCCCAGAACATAAACCCGAACGAACCATGTCCACGGATCAGAGCGATGACCTTGATGGAGGATGGAGGAGAATTGCGCCGCGGGGTGCACTGTAATTCAAAAGTTTATAGCGATCCCACCCCCCTGTAGTTGTTTCAAATGGCCGCATCCGCTCCATTTTGTTTATAGCGTTCATGTCCCCTGTAATGAACTTCCCAAAGCCAAGCACTAACAATGCCGAAGCGCGCCTGATTCGACATGTTCCTGTTTGTTGCCTGGCACAAGAATTAAAATCCGAAAGAAAGAAAAAATTCAATCTAAAGCATACGTATCTAACACAGAGGCTCTTTTTTCATTACAAATTTTGAATTTTCATCCCGCGAAATTCCTTAGCCCAAGCGCAAGAGACTGACTGTGTACTGTGCTTTCTTTACCCCGCCATTCTGGACCCCACCAAACCACCACCAAAATCTAATCTGTCGCGATGCAGTCAGTGACTCAGCCAAAATTTCATTAATTCTCCTCCACAAACAACATCCATCCCGCGACGAGCGAAGCCCTCATCGTGCTTCACGTCGTCTCCCACACATTGCCATAATGGCGACTGACACAGCAGCTGGTTCGTCCGACTCGCCACTACCCGCCTTCACCATCCCCGCGACTGACAATAGACAGCGGCCGACGGCGCCAGCACAACAACTCTACCCTTGCGCAGGCATCACAACCAGACCGAGTTCGAGTACGTCATCCTCCCCTCTGTACTCCTCCCCACCTACCAGCCTAACCCCCCCGGTAGCATCGTATCGACGTACCGAAACCTCCTCGCGCAGGATCCCGACCTGACCAAGCCCGTCGCCGCCATCGAGTCCCTCATCGAGCTGCTCAACTCGGTGCCCTCGACCACCGTCTTCGAGACCCTCGACACGGTCAAGGCGCACTGCGACCGCCTCAAGGCCTCAGTCGAGAACCCCGTTCCCCTCACCGCCGGCACCGACCTCTTCCTGCAGTACCTCGTCGCCTCCCTCAAAGCACCCCAAAACGGCAGCAGCGGCGCCGGCACCAGCTTCGACGCCGTCCGCCAGCACCTACTGCGCAACGGGCGGCTCTTCGCCGCGCGGGCCGTCGCCGCCCGCGCGGGCGTCGCCGAAGCCGGCTTCCGCTTCATCACCGAGGGCAAGGCCGTGCTGACCCACGGCAACTCGCGCTCCGTGCTGGCCGTGCTGGAGCGCGCCGCCCGCAACGGGCCGGGCAAGTTCCGCGTCATCTACGTGCGCGACTCGGCGCGCGCCGAGGAGAGCGACGCGGTGGTCGGGCAGCTCCGCGGCAAGGGCATCCCCGTGGCGGAGATCCCGGGCGCGGCGGTCGGTCACGCGATGGGGCTGCTGCGCCAGGTGGACATGGTGCTGGTCGGCGCGGAGGCGGTGGCGCAGAACGGCGGCATCATCTCGAGGATAGGCACGTTCCAGATTGCGCAGCTGGCGAGCCGCGCGCACGTGCCGTTCTACGTGGCGGCGGAGACGCACAAGTTTGCGCGCAAGTTCCCGCTGGACCAGCGCGACATTGGCTTTGAGCAGCACGTCCTCGACTTTACCACCGAGGGGCCGAGCAAGCAGCCGGTGGACGCTGTCGATTACACTGTGAGTTTGATCTTTGCATGTGTCCGTGTGTTTCGGTATGTCCTAACGACTGGCAGCCCCCCGAACTCATCTCGAACCTCATCACCGAAAACGGCGTCCACCTACCGAGCTACGTGTTCGAACAGCTACTGGAGATTTACGGCAGCTTGAATAGCTGAGGAGAATACGGGAAGGGGAAATAAAGAACAAGATACAAGTGCGCCAGGCACAAATGTCAGGGACGCGTGGGGCGTCGCTGGAGTGCCGGCGGAGAGTTGCAATATCCTGGCGTCACGGAGCAGTAGAGGAAACAAAGATGTCGCTCCATGTAGCACGGCGACGCGGGACAATTGAGCCTCTCCTAACAGAGAAGGAAGGAAGCAGAGAACTAGAAGACAAGAAGCCTAGATCAAATACCACATTTCAACAAACAACCAAGCAACCTCCTCTTGTCCAGCAACACCCAACAACATCAGTTCAAGTCAAGGACCCCCGTCCTGTATGCCCTAGAGCTGGTCGCGGACGAGCCGGGCGCCGGCCCAGGCGTACGGGTAGTTGCGCTGGTACCAGTTGACGAAGCTGCGGCGCCCCGCGATGCGCGGGTGGGTGGCCCAGGAGCCGCCGAGCACGACGTTGTGCTTGCCGTCGAAGAAGTCGGCCGTGTAGGCCGGGTACAGCGGCATGGGCTCGAAGCCGTCGTGCCGGGCCAGCGGCGTGCTGGTCCACTCCCAGACGCCGCCCATGCCCGCCCGCCCGGCCAGCGCGTCGCCGGCGGCCGTGACGGGCTGCGGGTGCCACGTCTTGAAGCCGACGTTGGCACCGTCCAGGTCAATGTACAGCGGGGTGGTGGTGGTGGTGGTGCTGCTGCTGCCATTGACCTGCGCTGCTGCTGAGCTTGGGGGTGTCTCCTCGACGCCGTCGTTGACCAGGTGGCTGCGACCTGTCAGCATGATATGGGGGGGGGAGGAAAGAAAAGGAAGAGAGAAAGAGGGAAGGAAAGACTCACCCGTTCACGGCCGGGACCCGGTTGGACAGCTTGCTGTGCATGGACGCCTCCTCCTTCTGCTGCTCGGCAAAGGCGTAGACACTCTGGGCCTCGTCGGCGGTCGGGATGCGGCCGCCCATCCAGGCGGCGCAGCCGGCCAGCTCGTCGTACGAGGCGGCCACGGGCCAGTCGAGCGCGTGCTGCAGCGGCACGAGCCCGTAGACGGTGCGCACCGCCTTGTCCCGCAAGTACGGCTGCATCGGGTACTCAGAGCGGCCCGCGCCGTTCAGCACCGGGCTACTACCGGCCTCTTCGCGGATGGCCCACGATGCGGGGATGGCGCCGTTCTTGGTGCTGTACAGGTAGTCCGCGTACTAACACGACCTTTGATTAGATGGGGTCGGTCGGTAATCCGGGGGCCAGACTTACGTCCTCGTTGGTGATGGGCCGCGCCTTGGCTTGGAAGGCGTGCACATCGCGGCGCCGCGAGGGCTTCTCGTTGTCCCAGCCGAACGGCACGCTCGGGTCCGTGCCGTCCTCCGGGTCGTCCATGCCGACCGTGAGCGTCTGCGCCGGCACGTCCACCCAGGCGTTGGGCACGCGCGCCCTCCGCGCCGCCGCGCCCAGCGCCGCAAAGTCCGGCGCCGGTGCGTGCGGCGGCGGCAGCGTCCGGTCGCTCTGCAGCATCATGTACAGCAGCGTCTCCAGGTGCATCGCCTCGTGCTCAAACGCCACCCAGACGCCCCTCGCCACGCTGCGGGGCATGCTCTCCCCCTCGCCGTACAAGTCAGCGAGGCGGGCGCGCACGCGGGCCTGGTACGCGGCGATGTCCTCGACGGGGGGCCACTCGTCGGGAATCTCCGAGTGCGCGTGGCAGTGCTCCGGGTTGTCGACGTCCGGGTCGATGCCGCGCTCAAAGATGGACTGGTAGAGCGCGGCGGGTTCCGTGGATGGGGAGCCGGTGACCTTGGAGAGCTGCAGGTCGAGAAAGGTCGGGATGTGGCCGAGGTAGAAGACGCAGGCGTTGCGCAGCTTGATGGGGCGGGACTGGAGGGCGCGCGAGGAGAGCATGCCCTTGGTGACGACGTCCCAGGCCTGCCACAGGGCGGACCAGTCTTGGAGGGTGGGCAGGACGCTGCCGTACTGCGAGGGGAGGGAGCTGAAGGGGAGGTCGGTCTTTTGGAGTAGATGAAGGCCTGACGGCTGGTCAGTATATGAGGGTGTCTCGATTGGAAGGGCAGGGGGAATGGCACGCACCGTAGTCGTCGCCGCGGCGCCAGCGCTTCACCTCCTTGAGACCAGCGGCGCGCCACAGCTTCTCGACGCCGACCTGCGAGTACTTGAGGCTCTGCTCAATCTTGAGCGTCTCGGCTTGCTTGATGGTGGTGCCGAGGACGGTGACCTCCTTGGTGGGCGAGAGGAAGGCCTGGTGGCGGCCGCCGTCCTCGTCGTAGATGAACTCGCCAATGACTTTCCAGTCTTCCAGGTGGAAGACCTCGGTGCCGTAGATGTCGTTGGCGTGGCGAAGGCCGTTGTGGATGAAACTGGAGGGATTAGTTTGCATGTATCTGGGCAGAGGGGGGGAGTGACTGGCTCACTTGTGAGTGACACCCTCGGAATCTAGGGTTTCCGTGTTAGTTAGTCTGGTTCCATCACAGCTTCATTCAATCTTAAACTTGCCATTGTATGCATGGCTGGAAGCGGGTTAGCAATGATGAAAGTACGTAAAAGATACAAGAAGCATAAAGGACACTCACTAGACCTTGTCCGGGTCGCAGCACGAATCGATGCCAATGATGACAGAGTCTGTCGGCTTCATGACCTGGGCGAAGCCTTGCAGGAACGCGCCGGCCTCGTCACGCGAAAAGTTTCCTAGACTGGTGTCAGCCAACAGAGGAAGAGACGGCCAAATACTATTCTATCGCAGGTGCAGCTTTACGCACCAATGCTGGAGCCGAGGTGGATGATGACAATACTGCGATCATCATGGGCAAACTGCTTCAACCAGTCCTTGCCGTCGTCATATGTGCCCCAGAGTCCATGGCTACGGACGTGCTTGTAGTCGGGGATCTGCAAAAGCGTGCGCTGCAGTTCTTGCTCTGACAAGTCGAGCGCGTAGTAATCGATGGGCTTGCCAATCTTTTCAAAGGCATCGAGGACGAGGGAAATCTTGCGCAGATTGCTGAAGGGGGTGAGGACTCGGAATTAGCGATTGATCATGTCAAGACGAATGAAGAAGGAGGGGTCGTCTGTTATCCTCTTACCCGCTTCCAAGCTCGACAAGCATGGCGCCAGCCGGGATGAGGCTGGCCATCTCGGCGGCGTGTTTCTTGAGAAGCTCAATTTCGTAGTTTGTAAGATAGTATTCGTCCAGATATGTAATCTGAGGCACGGTTAAGATGATTATTTCCAGGCGGCAAAAAATAAACAAATAAATAAATTAACGTTGCCCATTCGGGACGGGGAAAGAAAGAATGGTTGGGACAGGACCTTTGCCTGGGAATCCACTTCAGGCAAAGGGAAAAGCGGTGCAAGACGGGCTTCAGCAAGAATGACAATGACATACATCCTCAAACAACTGCAAGCCCTTTTCGTCGTACAGCAGCATCGTCGGGAGCGTTCGGTGGCCGCTGACGGGGTTCAGACGGCCGGTAATGTCCTCCTTGAGGTTGAAGTCGACCTGGGCGCCGCGAATGTCGATGATGTCGAGGCGCTGGATCGTTGGCATCTTGCGGGGCGTCGCGGAGTCGGCAGAGGTCATGACGAAGGGGGAAGACGACTCGTAATCATCTGCGAGTTGCTGAGCAGCAAAGGCCTCTTTGACGGCAGGCATATTGACTGGCGTATGAGTTGGCAACGGAGAGAGAGAGAGAAAGAGGTGGCTAGTGGCAATTCTGGACGATGGGGGGTTTCGAGGCGATGGGAATGCTTTAAACTAGTTGGAAAGACGACGCGGAAGATGATTAGATGGGGTTGGTAATCTAGATGCGCACAAAGAGCAGTGGGAACTTGTCTCTCTCTCGAAGCTATAAGCTGTGGACTAGTAACATAGTTAGTTGCCAGTAGTCTTCCCGCGGCTGCCGGTTCAAGATACGAATAGGGCGTGGAAGCTGTGCGTGCCGGTTGTACTTTGGAGACAAGCAATTCAGCGCAACATTTGCTTGAAACTACAAGTATCTTTCACGGTCGGGAAAGGTATTCTAGACCCAGAGCTAGTTCACAGGTGACAACCTGCACGAGGAAGCTTCTTTCTCCACAGTGAAGCCCACCACAAGAAGCTAACAGTTGACGGAGCAAAGCAAATGTACAACTCGTTAGTTATTGCTAGTTGGAAATACATGCTCGACGGGTGGCTAACTAAGGTACCTGGATTCCACACCCACCTCCCGTTTCGGCACAAGGACGGCCCATCTCCAACTCGGTTGCCCCTCCTCAGAGCCGGGGCGGAGCATCGGCCGGGCTTGTGAGTGGCCAGAGCCGGCGCGGGGTTTCTGGTCTCCCTTTGGAATCAATACCTGTTGAGGCGGGCAGGGGAGATGGAAGAAACAAGTACATGGGGCCTGGTTCTAGCTTGCCGTTGGCTGGAATTCGGAGTGAGGCTTGACAATCCATCTATTTCTGGAATCGTGTCGTCACCCATGCGTGGCCTGTTTCTTAGTCTTTTGGTGAATGTGCCTGCCTCCTCATCCGGGAGTAAGTCATGCATACATGCATACACACATACATACATACATACATACATACATATTGGAGCATGCTGTGTGTGTGTGGGTGTCCCAGACACGCGAACGCATGGATGGCAGGTCAGAAGAGCCAAGGAACCTGCAAGAAGAGGAACCTGCCAGCACATGCTTTTGAGACTGCTGTCGATGGTTGCTTCATTCTAACAGTACGCCCTCATGATACAAAAATACGTCTTGGGCGCTGACGGGCTGGCAACTCGTCTGCTGATCATCTCCAAGTAATTGTCCGCAGCTGAACCATGGCGGCTTGATTATGCGACGAATGCGTAGTTACTGTACGTACAGAGAAATGCGGGCGGCGTTATTTTTGCGGCGACTTTCCCGGCATAAACCGGGAAGCAGTAACCACAATATAGCTCGCCCTGTCATGCATCCTCGTTCTCTATGCAGGCGATGGGAGCTCCATGACGATGGCTCATGCAGCCGGGTTGGTCCGCCTTAGCTCTGCGACGCTTTTTTTTTTTTTTTTTTTTTTTTTTTTTTTTTTTTTTTTTTTTTTTTTTTTTTTTTTTTTTTTTTTTTTTTTTTTTTTTTTTTTTTTTTTTTTTTTTTTTTTTTTTTTTTTTTTTTTTTTTTTTTTTTTTTTTTTTTTTTTTTTTTTTTTTTTTTTTTTTTTTTTTTTTTTTTTTTTTTTTTTTTTTTTTTTTTTTTTTTTTTTTTTTTTTTTTTTTTTTTTTTTTTTTTTTTTTTTTTTTTTTTTTTTTTTTTTTTTTTTTTTTTTTTTTTTTTTTTTTTTTTTTTTTTTTTTTTTTTTTTTTTTTTTTTTTTTTTTTTTTTTTTTTTTTTTTTTTTTTTTTTTTTTTTTTTTTTTTTTTTTTTTTTTTTTTTTTTTTTTTTTTTTTTTTTTTTTTTTTTTTTTTTTTTTTTTTTTTTTTTTTTTTTTTTTTTTTTTTTTTTTTTTTTTTTTTTTTTTTTTTTTTTTTTTTTTTTTTTTTTTTTTTTTTCATTCTTCTTTCTCTAGTTCTTCACCATGTACAATACTTCCCCAATTTTAGTAGAGATGGAAACAAAACACGAGTGCATGGATGTATATACAATGATGCATCCACCACTGACATCTACTCCGCCAGAGCCTGCAGCACCATCTCTGTCATGCCCAGGAGCTTTTCCTCCTCGAGCTTGCCAGCCACGAGCTGCAAACTGATCGGCATCCCGTCGAGCAGCTCCGGGTCGTACTCGGCGTTGATCGCCTCGCAGGTGTCGCTCAGCGGCTCGTAGTCCTGCCCGACCACGTCGACGCTCCTATCCACCGTCAACCTCGTCGGGAAGGAGACGGCTGAGACGTCCAGGATGTTGAACACGGCAGTGTACGCAACTAGACCATACAAACACATTAGCTTGAAAGATCAACAAGGGCAGGAGATCGGCCTCACCGTGTCTGGTCCCGCTGTGCCGGTGCGTCACGTACGGCGTCGTCGGCAGCAGCAGCGCGTCCAGCCCGGCCTCCCGCCAGCTATCCAGGTTCTCGTTCTGAAACGCCGTGCGCTCCGTCTGCAGCCGCCACACGTCCAGCACCGTCATCGGGCGCGCATCCCGGTACGCCGCCATCTCCGGCCGCCACGGCTCGCCCGTCTGGGTCAGCTGCTGCCGGATCGCCGCCGCGCCGTCCGCCACGAAGAACTGCCCAATCATGGTCAGCCCGCGCAGCATGTCCGTCGGCCGCCAGCCCACCACCTCGTGGCCCGCGCCGCGCAGCCGGGCGACGGTCTGGTGCAGGGCCCGGGTGACGGGTGGCGTGGGAAGGACCAGCGTGTCGTCCCACATGACGCCGACCCGGAGCTTCGCGGGGAGGGCGGGCGGCGGGTGCTGCCAGGGGAGCGGGAGGCACTTGGCGTCAAGGAGCCAGGGGCGGCTGGAAACGACGACGCGGCTGTAGAGGGTGATGTCGGGGAGGGTGCGCGCCATGGGGCCATTGACGGAGAGGACGCCCTCCTGGCCGGGCATGCCGGAGCGGCAGTCGCGGACGGGGAAGCGGCCGGCGGACGGCCGGAGGGTAAATAACCCGGTGCACGCGGCGGGTATTCGCAGGGATCCGCCTGACCTCACAAATCTCAGCCAGGGCCAAGACAAGATCGTAGGAAAATTACTCCCAGTAGTTAGAGAGAGAGGGGAGGAGGTAGCTTACCGATGTCAGTCCCCACGCCTAGCGGGCTGCCCCGGAGCAGCAGCAGCGCCGACTCCCCACCGGAGCTCCCACCACTCGTGGTCCTCCGGTTGCGCGGGTTCAGCGTGCGACCAAAGACGTTGTTGACCGTCTCGGCCATCATCATCGCCGTCGGCACGTTGGTCTTGACGTAGAAGACGGCACCGGCCGCCTCCAGCACCCGCGCCAGCGTCGAGTCCGCCGCCGCCGCGTCCCCGACGTGCGACGCGAAGCCCACCGTCGAGTCCAGGCCCGCGAGCTGGAAGTTGTCCTTGAGGGAGACGGGCAGCCCGTGCAGCGGGCCGACGGGGCGGCCGGTCCGGGCGAGGTGCGCGTCGCGGGAGCGGGCGGTGGCGAGGGCGCGCTCGAAGCACGTCTCGGAGAGGCAGTTGACCTGTACTTTCTATGAGTCGGGGTCCGCCGGGGAGGGGGTTGTGCAACGAAGAAAAGGAGGTTCGCACCAGCTGATGTGCGGCGGCGGCGCGCTTGCAAAAGGCGCGCGTCACAGCTTCGCAGGTGAGCGCCCCGGAGGCCAGCCCGACGACTAGCTCCGTGGCCGTCTGCTCGGTGATGGAGAGCTCATCCGGGGTGAACCAGCCGGAGGCGGAGGGCCAGGAGGTGACGTCGTCCTGCGAGGCCGGCGGGAGCAGGTCGGCGGGCACGCGCCACTCCTCCGGGATGGAGGCGCTGAGAAGGGCGCGCTTCCGGGAGCTGATATCCTCCCAGACGGGCGCCGGGCTCTCGGTGGCGAGACGGGCACCGTCCGGTTTGGCGGCGAGGATGTGGGTTTGCTGTGATTCGGCGCTGGTTCCCATGCTATGATACAAGTTGACTAGTACGATGCGGGGAGTGTGGGAGGAAGGGTTGTAGGGACTGGGAAGGAAATGGGAGGACACCGATGTAGAAAAGACGAGAGGGGGATTCAAGGTAGTTGATGGGTAAGCCATGTACTACTGCTGCTGCTGCAAGCCCAAGTCACCCTCGTGGACGGGATTTCCCCCGCAAAAGCCGATAACGGCAACCTCCGGGGCTCGGGCTCGGGCTGATGTGCGCCATCTATCGTGGGGTCCCCATAATATGCGGGAGGGCGTCCGGGGATGACAGCTAGAGCCTGGTGAGCCTTGAAACTTGGACTCCCATGGGTTTGATATAAAATGGCCCTGCAGGTTGTTAACTTGAGCTCTGGGCACATGTCGAGGTAGCTTGTACAGGGTATGAGCCGGTCAGCTCGGCGATGGATCGAGACTTGCAGCCAGCCAATACCGCCTCCCGTTAATAGACGTCAACAAGACATATTAAAACATGAAAGTTGAATGATTATATTGCTACATCTGCCATGTTCCAAGGGCTTACGATTTATACACCCCATCCTGCAGTTCTCTTCAACATGTCCTCCTCGAGCGAGAGTCGCCCTCGCAAGCTAGGGCTAGGTTTAGGCAGTGATCCTGTGGCGACGGCTACAACGCAACGGGGCTTCTCTTACAAGAAATATAACATATGGGATGCTATACCTGGCTTTGTAGTATGTAACCTTCATCTAGAGTTTTACTCTGAGATGGGATAGTATTTGCTGCAAATCAGCTGGTCCACCGGCCTCTTACACTATAAACCAACGGCTCGGCCAGTGACTCACCTGTGTCAAGTCCACCAAGGGAATGTTGTAGAATAAACTCATCACAGAAATTGATGCATGAAATCTATTCTCGCTCGTAAGAGCCCACCACTCCAAGCCGACATCACATTCCGTGCCCAATACAATGGCCACACATCCCACCCTAGACTCTCTCACCGAGAGCCAGCTCCAGGCACTCTACACGGCCCATTACCGGGCGACCACGGCCCGGATCCGAGTCGCCGGCGGTGCTCGACCGGTCCGCATCCCCGGCACCGCCGCGGCGCTCGCCTGGGCCAGCGACAAGCAGATGCACAACGGCGTGCCCGTCGGCGCCCTCGCCCCGAGCGACGACCCCGCCGCCGCCGTCCGGGCCGTGATGGAGCAGTCGCCCTCCCCCTGCCACTGGACCGTGTGGCCCGCGCCGCAGCCGCGCCTCGAGCAGGCGCTGCTGCGCCACGGCTTCGTCATCGACGACGACGAGCCCGCCATGGCCGCCGCCCTTGACGAGGACGCGTTGACGGCACGGCGCGCGCAGGCCGTGGCCGCCGCCGGGCCCGGCTTCGCCATCACGCCGGTCGAAGACGCGCAGGCCCTGGACGACTGGGTGGCCACCTGGGGCGGCGACGACACGCCCGCGGAGGTGCTCGACCAGTCTCACCAGGTGTACAAGGTCCTGCTCGCGGAGCTGCCGCGCGACGAGTTCGGCATGTTCGTCGGCCGTGTGGACGGCAAGCCGGTCGGGACGGGCATCGTGTTCTGCGCGGAGGGCCTGGCGGCGGTGCACTACATCGCCACGCTGGCGGCGTTCCGCCGGAGGGGCATCGGCAGGGCGCTGACGCTGCACGCGATGGTCGCCGCGAGGCGGGCGGGATACCGGATCGCGGTGCTGACGGCGAGCGAGGACGGCCGGGGCGTGTACAGGGCCCTAGGCTTTGGGGAGTTTGGAAAGCAGACGACGTATCTACGTGGATGATTAGGATGTGCACATGTGTTATTGGAGTCTTTGATTCTTTTCAATTTCCACATGTTATAGCGATGAGACAGACCTGAAATGATGACGAAATGCTTGTGAAAAGCCAGGTCTGGAGTATCAAATTAAATTCCGAGTACAGATTATGCACTTGAGAGAAGCCCCCCCGGACTCTACCACCACGTGGCAGCATGGCTTCGAGCAACAGCAGTTTTTAATTACAACGCTTTCACTTCCCGGGACTCAGGCATCCAAGCTCGCAACCGACGATGCCGGCTTATGAATATGAGACAGCTTTTCGCAAGCCACCCAGCGCTTTGCAGGGATCTCGGATCTGCACGGGGTAATGGAGGCAAGGGGGTTGATCTGCCGTGCTTGGCACAGCGAACTCTGGGAGTTGAAAGATGGCTGGTTATAAGGCTTTTCGGTGATGCTGAGCTCCCAGTGGCAAGGAGCCGAGGTTTGTAGGGAGATGTAGTTTATGCACTGTTGCATTCGCATTGCTGCCAGAATTGGGAGGCCTGTGATTGTCATGGCGGCCAGCCCGGAATCAGACCATTCTCCATCCAGACAGCAGGGGTGGCCCTGTCTAGTTGTTCCAAATGTCTTACCAGTAGCCATCAACTAACGAACTAACACCTCTTGCGTTGGGCTGACTGAGAGTGCTTGTGTCTGACTCGAAAAATGAGACAATGCTCGGGTCTTTTCATCACCAGTATTCTCAACATTGATGAGAATCATGGAGGTTGATCTGCGCAGCATTAATTTGGTACTTCAGACTGGCTTCGCTGGCTTGGGAATGACCCGTTGAGACTAAGAACAACGTTGACAGTCGTTTCTTTTTCTTTTTCTTCTTTTTTTCTTTTTCTTCCCACTAATTCAGGGACGAGATTAGCCGTTTCAAACGGGTAGAACGAAGCTGATACGTGTCTTGTACTGGTCAACTACATGTACGGCCACTGTCAGTTATAATAGTTTTCGTTTTACTCCTTAATTCCAGTTGACCTCGAAATGTGCCTTGATGAGCCCCATATTCATAATAAAGGGCGTATTTATTTACTCCTTGTTTCGTTGCAGAATCGAGGCTGTGCCCTCCCTCGTATCCAAATGCCCGGTGTCCGTGTTGGTATGCTTCGCCATCACATGGCATCGCTATTGGGAGCGACGATATTCCCTTGCTCAGTGCCAGTTCTCGTAAATATCGGACTAAAATCCCTGCCAACAACCTGGACAGGGAACAAGGAATCGGAAATCGTTAGCGGTGCTTCCGGACCGTTGCTGCATGCACGCGCGGACTCGTGATGGCATCTTGACAGCAAGCAACAGCCCACTCACTCACCCTCCCAACGGGACGGACGGACCACCGCATTCCCTGATCAACATGGCTACCCTTGGAGCCGGATGATGAGCTCATTGGTCGCATCAACTCGCTTCGCTTCAATGGCGGTGGGGAGGACGGGCCGCCGGCCGTTTCGCGATGCGAGCCTAAACGGATAGAGGCAAAAGCAAAAAAAGGGGCCATCATGATCAACGGCACTTGGATTCAATAGGCATTCAAGCGGATCCCCTCCCTGACTGCGTTGACAAGGTGACCCAGCGAGACTGAGACATCCGCTGTCCTATATATGATAGCCGACATGGGCCTCTCCGCAATAGTTCCTCCCCCCCGTCCATATAGTCCCCAACGGCTGGCGTATGAATATCGTCTTCAAACTGCCCGTATTTATCTCCATTTCCCAATATTCTCCGTTTCTCTCTGTCCGTTTCGATAGCTTCGAGGAACTCCGAGCATTACCACAGACATCACCGTTCCCAAGGCTGGTTATGTGCCAAGCACCCGCAAGCTACCACTACCATATTCGCTGGTCATGAACCTGCGCCATCTCGATGCCTCCGTTCTTATAACAAACAATGATGCCGCTGATGAGTACCGTCAGTGTTGCGTCACTCAGTCCATTAGCGCAGTCACTGCCGCCCATCGTCGACAGGCGTGGCGACGACTTTATGCTCGGCCTGCCTCACTGCGCTGTAAGCTTATCGCCTGCACTCCCCGATCCGTTCGGCCTCTCTAATCTCAGCTGTCGCTGCAGGTACCGTGCGTAGAGCAGCTGTGCACGCCTTTCAACCAAACATGTGTCTGCGGGCCAGACAAATCCGCCATTGACCGCTGCGTCCTCGTCTCGTGCGGGATACCAGCAGCTACCTGTAAGACTGACGCCGAGGGCGAACGCTTCAAAACGCGCGACTTTCCCATTTTACTTACATCATGCACAAGACGTGAGGAACCTCACAGAGACGTCCTGTAAAACGCCAGTCCGCGATCGCCGGGTCGACTTCAACATCATGACCGCCACCATGACCTCGTGCACCTTTTGCGTCATCAGCGCGCGCCTGCTGTACAAGCAATTCCTGAGCGCTAGGAGAGCCATCGACTACGAGGACTGGTCCCTCATTGCCGCCGTCCTCATCGGGCTGCCCAGTGTCTTCATCAGCGTCTTCTGCCTCACCGCCAACGGCATGGGCCGGGACGTCTGGGGCCTGCAGCACCCCAGCCTGGTCACCACCCTGTACTACCTGTACATCAACTCCATCCTCTACGTCGTCCTCATGATCCTGATCAAGCTGAGCCTGACCTTCTTTTACCTCAACATCTTCTTCGGGCGGATCCGCATCCTGCTCTGGGCTACGGTGGTCTTTCACGTCATCAGCGCGACCGTGTACGTGCTCGGCGTCGTTTTTCAGTGCCTGCCGATCGGCTACGCGTGGGAAAAGTTTGACTACGCAAAGGACGAGCCCGCCCACGGACACTGCTTGAACATCAACGTGGCGGGGTGGGTGAACAGCGGGATCAGCGTGGCGGCTGATATCTGGCTTCTGTCGCTTCCCCTGAGCCAGCTGCACAAGATGCGACTGCACTGGAAGAAGAAGCTGGGGGCTACTCTAATGTTCATGACGGGTGCAAGGTGAGTTCGATCCCTGGTCGGGAGTTCGCTGGCTGTAAAGCGCCCACGATACTTACTGTTCTTGGCAGCGTGACACTAATCTCGTGTCTGCGACTTGCGTCTATTCGAAACTACGCAACAACCTCGAATCCCACTTGGGATCAGTGGGATATTCTGTGGTGGTCGACTGTTGAAGTCGAGGTCGGCCTCATCTGCATTTGCCTGCCGACTATACGCCTGATCTTTATCAGAATCGCGCCGCGGATCTTTGGATCTGAGTCTAGTAGTGTCTCGTACGTACCAGAAGAAAGTCACGCGTAACTGTATAGATGTGGAAGCTGACCCAAGAATCAACCCATCAATAGAATCACGTTGAATCATATTGACTCGCAAAACACAAAGCATACACGACTAGGAGACGTCGAGGGAGAGGGAGAGGGAGAGGGCGCGGGCGCGACGCCACTCGCTACACTCCCTAGCGATGCCTCTGCGCCTGCGAACTTTTCGCTTTCGGAGGCTCCAAAGAGGCCAGAACCGGCGTTTTCCAGATCTCGAAACACATCGGATACCAGTGGTTCAATTTTCACCGCGGACTATCGCGATACATGGCATGATGAAGTACCGCTGAGGGTCGTGACGAAGGCACAAGATCGCAGAGTCAGCATTTGAGAGGGTCAGAATTGGATAATACCGACAAGAAGCAGACGATTCGATTATGGAATGATGAGCCAAGTACATAATCGCCAATAAGAATTACGAGTACGGAGGGGAGGGGAGGGGTTTTGCATTTAAATAGCACTAGATACCACGCCCTGGGCGGCACCACAGTTGTAAATGAACTTGATTTTGAATTTGATTCTTTATTTTTTTTAATCATAAATCGACTTAATAAGCTCTGGTAGCTTGACATCGATTGCGTTCCTACGCTTTCTCTGCCTTTCAACCAGTGGCTGAAGAGGGACGGACGTGGCGGCGGGAGTGGCGACGAAGAACAGTCACAATACTACAAACGACTGCGTTATGATTTTAGTAATTCACCACTTTTGGGTGCCAGAGAAAATACAACAAGAAATTTACAACGCTAGAGATGGCTAGATGTTTGAATATTCAATTTTTCCTCAATATTTGAATATTCAAAAGTTTATGTTGAAATGTACAAACACTGTTATGCGGGGCACAAACGGCTGCCGATCTACATAGTTAGGCCCTGGCAGTGGGCATCTTGGAATCCCATCTGCTCCTACTCTTTCCAACTTCATCTACACGACGCCCTCCGCATGACAGCTTCCGAAAATTCAACCTTTTGCCTTTTCCACCAGAAGACGAAAGAGGTGCTTTCTCTGCGACTGCTGCCCTCCAGGCTGGCGTCGCAAGACGATACACACAGACAGTCATGGCCGTGCGCAGCAGGTCGATCAAGGAATACCTGCGCAACGTCTACCAGCCTGGCGAGCGCGCCCTCATCCAGAAAATCGACTTTTTCATCCTGACATTTTGCTGCTTGAGTTATTTTGTCAATTACGTGCGTTCCTTCTCTTCTCTTCCGAAACCCCTCGTGTCTGTCTGTCTTGCCAGCGCTGACTCACGCCCACCAGCTCGATCGCAGCAACCTGAACAATGCCTACGTCTCCGGCATGAAGGACGACTTGGGCTTCGTCGGCGACCAGCTCACGCAAATCAATACCTGCTTCACCGTTGGGTAAGCCTGCCACTCTCCCCTGTCCCCCTCCCTCTAATACCGCCAACCACGCCAGCAAAAACTTCTAACTCGTTCGTTCCATCCCGCAGCTACGTCGTCGGGCAGATCCCCTCCAATCTGTCACTGCACTACGTCAAGCCGCGCATCTGGTTCCCGCTCATGATGGTCCTTTGGGGCGCCCTCACCATGGTCACCGCCGCCGCCCGCAGCCCGCACGCCGTCATGGCCGTCCGCTTCTTCCAGGGCGTCTGCGAGGCCTCCACCTTTGTCGGCACCCACTACGTCCTCGGCGCGTGGTACACGGAGCGCGAGCTCGGCAAGCGCAGCGGCGTCTTCACCGCCTCCGGCCTCGCCGGCACCATGATCGGCGGCTTCATCCAGACGGGGCTCAACCGCGGGCTCGACGGCCGCCGAGGGCTGGCCGGCTGGCGCTGGCTGTTCATCGTCGACGGGCTCATCACCATACCCGTGGCCCTGTACGGCTTCGTCTTCTTCCCGGACACCCCGCGCACCACCACGGCATTTTACCTCTCCGAGGAGGAGAGGCGGCTTGCTCGGTCGCGCGTGCCGGAGGACGAGGGGGAGAAGCAGTCCCCGCTGACGCTCGCGTTCGTCAAGAGGGTCCTGACGTCGTGGTACTGGTGGGGGTTCGTCATGCTCTGGGTGATTGCGGGCGAGACCGAGTCGTTTAGCAGCAACGCGCTGCTGGCGCTGTACATGCAGAAGCACCCGGTCAATAAGTACTCGAGGGCGCAGCTCAACGACTACCCGACCGGCGTGCCGGCTGTGGGCATCGTGTCGACGCTCTTCTGGGCCACGCTGACGGACTTTCTCGGCGGTAAGCGCTACCTCGTCGGCTACTGGATCGGCGTCACGGGCATCGCCACCTCAATCATGATCCTGGTCGCGGCTACCAACCCGACCAGCTCCTCGTCCACTGCGGTCGTGTTTGCCGCGTACTACTGGGCCGGGTCTGTGTACGCGTGCCAGGCGACCTTTTTCGCCTGGTGCAATGATGCCATGCGATATGAGCCGTCCGTCTTCCGAGGCGTGGTCCTGGCCGGGATGAACCTAGGAAACAATGCTGTAAATGCGTGGTGGATACTCATCTTTTACGGTGCCTCACGAGCGCCGTGGTTCATTGTGAGTTTGCATTTCCAAGTAATTAATACCGGACTTCAATTGGGACCAGCTAACAATTATTTCTTCTCAGCGTGGCATGTGGGCAATGATCGGATGCTCAATTGCCTTAATTTTCTGGTGTGCTGGGTTGTCTTACATGGTCTACAAACACCGTAGGGGCATCGCTGACAGCGCTGCAGAATTGCATGAGGTTATGCCATCCAAAGCGGAAAGTTGACATTGGAATATGGAAAATGACGATAATCACCGTATATAATAACCATACTAATTTTGTAGAAAATTACTCCGTCTTTTACTTTAGTTTGCCGCGCCTCTGGATCGGCTGAGACGGCGCTGCTGAGGCCTCAGAAAATAGGCATGCAGTCTAGCACCAGTCGGAAAAAAAGTTTGGACAACGGGTTTCCACTTTGCATCTCGCGATCTCTCCCGTGCTTTGACTTTTCCCGAAAGCATCACGTCACGCCCGTGTCCATTGGCTTTTCGCAAATCAACATGTCGCCATAGATTTATTCGCTTCATCTTCTCTCATACCGCCATGTCCAGCCTTTTACCGTGGACTGTGTCGGTCGCGCGCCAGCATGCTAGGATCACGCTGCAGCGATCGACAACCTCCTCACAGGTAGCAACCAAGTCCATCAGCACAAGCGCGGGCGTCCAGTCGCAACAAAAACGCCATATCCATGCCAATTCCGGGGCGCGAAGACAGTCTTCACCAATTGGCCCTGTCCGATGCTCCCTAGCGGTTGCGCGGGTGAGCCTTGCGCCGCGCGCCGCAGCAGCCCTGCCTAGATCGTTGAGCACCACTTCGACGCGCGCCGGGCAAGCCGTTGCTAAGTCGAGCGATAGCAAGGCCGTCCGGAAAGACACCGAGGATGACGAGGATGCTCTGGTTGACGAAGTCGGGGCTAAGGCGTCCAAGGGCCCAAAGCACGCCGCGCAGCTCTCCAAGAACGAGCCCGACGCGGATAACTCCGCGGGCGGTCTGCTGCGCCTCCTGAGCATCGCCCGGCCCGAGGCCAAGCCGCTCGGCCTCGCCACCGTCTTCCTCGCCGTCTCGGCGACCATCACCATGACCATCCCGTATGCCGTGGGGCGCATCATCGACGCCGCCGGCAAGGGCGGCATCGTCGAGGTCGCCGGGCACGCCTTCACCCTCACCCAGTTCATCGTCGGCATGGGCGCCGTGCTGACCCTCGGCTCGGCCGCCTCCTTCACGCGCAACGTCATGATGCGCATCATCGGCGAGCGCGTCATCGCGCGCCTACGCTCCCGCCTCTACCGCCGCACCTACACCCAGGACGCCGAGTTCTTCGACGTCAACCCCGTCGGCGACCTCATCTCGCGGCTCGGGTCCGACGTCAACATCGTCGGCGACTCGGTGACGACGAGCGTCACGTACGCGCTGCGCTCGACGTTCAACACGGTCGCCGGCATCGCCATCATGCTGTGGACCAGCGCCAAGCTGACCATGCTGATGCTCGTCATCCTGCCGCCAATGGCCATCGGCTCGCTCATCTACGGCCGCTTCGTGGAGCGCATGAGCAAGCGCGTGCAGAAGAACCTCGGCACGCTGACCAAGATCGCCGAGGAGCGCCTCGGCAACGTCCGCACTAGCCAGGCGTTTGTCGGCGAGCGCCAGGAGGTGCACCGCTACAACAACCAGATCCGCAAGGTGTTTGCGCTGCGCAAGCGCGAGGGCATCGTCACGTCGACGTTTTACACGTCGACGCTGTGGGCGGGCAACATCTCGTTCCTGATTATGCTGACGGTCGGCAACGGCTTCATCCAGTCCGGCGCGATGACCACCGGCGACCTGACCGCGTTCGTCATGTACGCCATGTTCGCCGGCACCGGCATGATGGACTTCTTCTACACCTACACCGAGATCATGCGCGGCTCCGGCGCCGCCCAGCGCCTCTTCGAGCTGTCCGACAAGCGGCCGCGCATCGCGCCCAGCCGCGGCTTGCGCGTCGCCTCCGCCGCCGGCGCCGTCAAGTTCACCGACGTGCACTTTGCGTACCCGACGCGCCCCGACGCCACCATCTTCAACGGGCTCAGCTTTACGATCCCCGCCGGCGCCAACGCCTGCATCGTCGGGCCCTCCGGCCGCGGCAAGTCGACCGTCGGCGCGCTCCTCCTGCGCTTCTACGACCCCGTCTCCGGCACCATCAGCATCGGCGGGCAGGACGTCTCGAAAATGAGCGCGCAGTCGCTGCGGCGCCGCATCGGCGTGGTCGCGCAGGAACCCGCGCTCTTCTCCGGCACTGTCGCGGAGAACATCGCCTACGGCGTTCCCGGCGCCTCTGAGGCGGAGGTCGCGCGCGCCGCCGCCATCGCCAACTGCACGTTCGTGGAGGAGCTGCCGCGGGGGCTGGCAACGCAGGTGGGCGCGCGCGGGTCGCAGCTGTCGGGCGGGCAGCGGCAGCGGGTGGCCATCGCGCGGGCGGTGCTGAAGCGGCCGGACGTGCTGGTGCTGGACGAGGCGACGTCGGCGCTGGACGCGGAGTCGGAGGCGCTGGTCAACGAAGCGTTGGGGCGGGTGTTTGCGGGCGGCATGACGACGGTGGCGATTGCGCACCGGCGGTCGACGATCGAGAAGGCGGACCTGCTGATCGTGCTCGGCGGGGACGGCCGCGTGGCGGAGACGGGCACGTACGCGGAGCTCGCGGCGGACAAGGACAGCGAGTTCAGCAAGCTGATGGAGAATCAGATGCGCTCACCGGTCGTGCGTAGGCCAGTGGAGGATGGAGAGGGGATCACGGCTGAGGAGGAAGAGGTGATCGAGGAGGATGAGGGGCAAGAAGCTGAAGGTGAGCATCGCAAGGTCTAGACCACGCATGTAAATTATTGTAATATTTTGTATCTTTTTGTAGTATAGTAGATACTTCTTCGTCACAGAATGTAGGCTGTGTGTTGACTAGACTTCGAAGCCCTCACGTCTGACATTGTCAAGGTCCCAAGGTGTTGATGTGCGCATTAGCCTTTAGTACGACGTTTAACCAAAAATTCTTTATTTTTCTTTAATTGCTATGAATTTAGTCCGTGTATTTATTTGCTTCTCGACCTCTACTTACACAATCGCCGGAAATGTATTCTCTTGGCATAAGGCAGCAGGTGCGAGTTTTCAAGTATTCCATTCTTCTTAGACATACAGTGGGTGGCAACATGTATTTGTCCCCTACTAGGTATCTGACCTATCCCTACGATAGTCGAGATAGTTAGCGAAGATACGTAAGATGTATAAAGTACCTAAGATGCCTGAGAAGGTGAGATACCTAGTAGGGGACAAATATTTTAACCTTAATCAACTGCCCCCCTCTTTGGCGGGTAAATTACCCCTCATTCGGTGGGCGCCACACCAGAGGCAGCCCGCCACCAATGAATGACGTTGCTGCTGTTTCCAAAGAGGCCTCATGCGCTGGGGCTTTCAACTCCAGCGCTTGCTGGACCAATCCTGGCCATTCGTGTTTTAACCCTTTCAACATTGTGCTTGTTTCTATTCCTGTCCATCTTCTTTCCTTTTCATCCTTGAAGTAGCTTCTGCGTCGCGGCTCTCGATCCTACATCACCACCTATCCTTAACAGCACTATTCACACAGCCTGTTGCGCCACTTCCATCATGGCCTCCGGACACAGTGTAAGCTCTCCTTTTCACACGCGCCGCCCTTATCGCTAACCATCCCTGATGATGCTCTCCAGGATCCGAAGCTGCTCTACGCCGTGAACGGCATCAAGGCCTACCACATTTCCAATGGCGACGAGCAGTCCCTCACGCCCTCGGGCCCGCAAACGCTCTCGCTCCTCATGGTCCCAACCTCGTCCGGCTTCGCCGACCCCTCCGGCCTCTCAGGCGGTGCCGGCACCGGCGAGGAGGACTTTTACCTGCACCTGCACCTCCCGCCCGAGCTCGACCTACCCATGCCCGCGACGACGCAGATCTACCACCAGCCGCCGAGCAGCTACCTGATCCCGCGCTGGGACCTTGGACCCAACAGCGGCGCCTTCACGCGCATCGAGTTCCCCGCCGTCAGCAGCCGCCCGGGCGTCCAGGAGGATGTCGACACCTTTGAGACCATACTCGCCCAGTGCACCGCGTTCCTCGAGCGCGCGCCCCCGCCCAGGCCCCCGCGCTCCAAGGCCGCCGAGGCCAAGGCCAGGGAGGCCAGCGGCGAAGCGCCCCCGCCGTACAACCCGGCGAGCTTCGAGGCCGGCGAGGCGTACGTCCAGGGCAGCGCCAGCTCCCACGTCGGCGGTCGGATCGTGCTGGTCGACGAGGAGGATGGCAGCGTCATCGGCGAGCTGAGCGACGGCTTCCAGGTTGTCGAGGACAGTCGTGTTCGTCCCGGAACCAAGGGTAAGCTCTGTACCAATTCCACACAAGGAGTTCACACCACTAACATCCTAGTCCAGACCCGGTAGAAATCAGCCTCCCCGAGGACGGCTCGCACAACATTTCGGTCGAACCGGTCGAGTACGATTACATTGAGGACTTGGTCCACCCGGCCTATAAGAAGTCGTCGCTCGTCAGCGGCGCCACCCGCGCGTCGCGGCTCCTCATCACCACCTCCGACTACGTCGGCAAGATGCTGCAGAACCAGGCCGACAGCTTCACACACAAGACGGAGCCCGTCGCCAACCCCGTCACCTTCACGCCCGCCACGCACGAGCGCATCCGGCGCATCAACCACTTCTCCTCCAAGGCGGCCGGGCTCTCCGCCTCCACCGTCGGCTCCATCAGCAAGGTCACGCAGAACCTCGCCGCCAGCGTGCGCCGCAAGGACGGCCGCGCCCGCGGCTACGACAAGGACGGCAACCTGGTGGACAGCTACAAGCCGGGAATCCTCAACAAGAGCCTCATGGCGTTCAACACCATCGTCGACGGCGCCGAGCAGGCCGGCAAGACGCTACTCACCAGCACGTCCAGCAGCGTCTCCACCGTCGTCGGCCACAGATGGGGCCCGGACGCCGGCGAGGCCGCGCGAAACATTGGCGGCGGCTTCAAGAACGTCGGCCTCGTCTACATTGACGTCACGGGCGTCTCGAGGCGGGCCATCCTCAAGAGCGTTGCCAAGGGCATGCTGGTCGGTCAGGTCAAGGACGGTGGCAAGGTGTACGTCGGGGGAGACGACGGGGCTTCTGTGTCTGGGGCCAATGGCTCTGGCAAAGCAGCGGCCGCTGCTGCTCCGGGTGACTCGAAGGGCAAGAAGCCGTCTAGATAATCTCGGCCTGGTGTTGAGAGTCGACTGGGGGGCTGCATTGAGTTGTCAGCACCGGAGTTTGCAAAAAATAAAATGACACAGAATAATATGAGTTACGATTAAAGTATATGATGATCAACTTTTTGTACCCCAAAATGAACCTGATCAAATGAATTCGCGGTCGAAAATAGCCATTGTATAGCATCACGTGGAGCCGCGGGGCAGTTCAACGGCGCGTCGCGTCTCCAAACCTTCATTTAAGCAAACTCTCGAGCCGGAATCACACAAGTCAGGAAACTGAGCTACACGATCCCGAGAAATTACCCAACAAATCAAGGACTCCATATTACATTGTTCATGTGCACCGAAACCTGCTGCGCTGCTGCGCATCACCCTCGGCAGCGTTGAGGTGCTTCCTGATCCTGCCCCTCCAAACGGCTTCACCCTCACCAAAAAGCTCGCCGCAACAGGGTACTTTACAAACCTTCCAGGCACTCGTCAATATGCCATTGCTAATATTCACGCAGCCATAAAACTAAATATGCTTCACGAAATCCTCCTCTCCCTCTCCGGGCACCCCTCGCCACTGCTCACCGCCCAGCTTTCCAACACCGAGCCCTCCTCCTCGTCCGCCTCCGCCTCCGCCCTCTCCCCATCCGAGCGGCAGCTTCTCGCCTCAGCCGCGCACCTGTCCGACCTACACATCAAGCTCTCCAAGCACGCGGCCCGCGTCGCCGCCTCGCACCCGTCCGCCGTGTGCCGGGCGGTGGCCACGGCCGTGCAGTCGGTGCACCTCGCCGCGCTGCGCCGCAAGGTGCTCGAGGTGGAGGCGGGCATCCTGCGGTACGATGCGGGCCTCGTTGGCGCCTATGGCATCGTGCCGCTGACGGCCGTCATGGGCGAGTTCCAGCCGTGGACGCGCCGCCTCGAGTGGCTGTGGGAGGTGGTGCGCTTCCTCGAGGGCGAGGATGACACCGAGGACCGCAGCCGCAGCCGCCCGTGCTGGGGTGCCCGCGCCATCGATCGCCTGCGCGCGGAGCTGCAAAGCGGCTACCACGACGTCCAAGAGGCCGCGCAAACGCTGGTGGCCGCCGCGGAGACGGCGTGGCTGCGACAGGTCTCCGCCTGGATCTTCTACGGCCGGCTGCCGAGCGCGGACGCCGGCGGCGAGGAAGACTTCTTCGTGCACGCCACCGGAGGGATGACTGCCGCCGCCGAGGGCGGCGGCCGCGAAGAAGAGGAGGACTACGTCGCCGTCGCGGAGCTGCTCCCTGCATTCGTGACCCCAGCGACGGGCCGCTCCATGCTCTTCATCGGACGCTCGCTGAACCAGATCCGCGCGCGGAGCACGACGCTCTCGACGGCGAGCGGCTTCCACAACACGGCCGCCAAGCTGCAGGCCGTCGCGGACCTCGTGTCCCCGCTCAGCTCGGCCAGCTTCACCGGCGTCGTCCGCGACATCCGCCGGTCGCTGTCGCGGGACATCCTGGAGCAGATCCTGCCGCTGTCCGAGGTCATGTCCACCATGCAGCTCCTGCGCGAGTTCTTCCTGCTCGGCCGGGGCGAGTTCGCCACGGCCATCACGCACGAGGCCGACGAGCGCGTCCGCAACCGCTGGCGGCGCGCGGGCAGGGACGCCGCGGGCAGCAGCAGCGTCGACAGCGTCGCGGTCAAGAGCGGCGAGGTGTCCGCCGCGCTGACCCGCGCCTGGGCCTCCCTATCCTCGTTCGAGCAGCAGTCGGGCACCGGCGACGACGCGCTGCTCGACCGCGCGCGCGAGCTGCTCCGGCTGCAGCTCGTCAAGGCCCGGCCCGACATCCCCGTGCACTCGCGACCGGGGCTCGTCGCGCTGCTCGCCGACGGGCCGCCCTTTGACGCGCTGCTCTTCTCCGCGCCCGTGACGCTCGCGATGCGGCTGCCGCCCGCCGTCGACATGGTGCTCTCCCCGTCCGACATGCACGTCTACGGCCGCGTCAACGCGTACTTCGTCGCGCTGCGCCGCGCGCACGTCCGCCTCACCGACCTATGGCGGCTGACCTCGCTGCGCCGCCACTTCCCGGGTCCGCGCGGCGCCGGCGAGCACGCGCGGGAGCTGCGCGAGCGCTGGTCCGCGCGCGCGGAGGTGCTCCGCGGGATGTGGACGACGGCGAGCGCGGCCGTCTTCTTCCTCGGCGAGACCGAGGCGTACTTCCAAACTGAGGTCGTCGAGGGCCTGTGGCGCGGCTTCCGTGCTTGGCTCGCCGGCGAGGCCCAGCACGAGGACGACGAGGCGGCCGAGGATGCTGTGCCCACCGCCGACGCAATGGACATTGGTGACGACGAATACCACGACGACGATGCATCCCAGCATCAACACGAACCTCGCCCCATAGCCACTGCCGCACCACCGCCTGAAAGCCGTCCCACCACAAGCTCCTCCGCCGCCGCCACGCCGCGCCGCAACCGGCACGACCAGCAGACGCTCGCCACCGGCCACGCCGTGTACCTCGACACCCTCGTGCACCGTCTCCTCCTCACCCAATCCACGTACACGCGGCCCCTGCACGCGCTCCTCGTGCACATCGACCAGCTCGCCGCGCACGTGCACCGCCTGCACGCGCTCTTCGCCGCCGCCGACCTCGCCGCCGACTCCGGCGTGCTGTCCTCCTTCTCCTCGGAAGAGGAGGAGGCGGGGGCGACGCTGCGGCTGCTGCGCGCGGCGGCCGGCGGGGTGCGCGCGGCCATTGACGAGGTGGTCGCCGCGCTGGAGGGGCTCAGCGTGGACGAGGCGTTCCTGCAGGCGTGGGAGGGTGAGGACGCGGCGACGGCGTGGTTGGAGGAGGAGCTGCTGGCGCCGGGCGAGGCGTACCGGCCGGCGAGGGTAGGCGGCCTGAACAGGTTGCTGATGCAGCTGAAGTTTGGTAGTTGATGTGGAGGAGATGGGCAGGAGGTGTCTATAATGAATGCAACGACGCAAAACCAGTATTCACGTTTTTTTTAAAGAGTTGTACATTATAGTATGATGAGTATAACGGCAGAGTAGCAAGGGATTATCATAGTTGAATGCGCCGTGTATATGCTTGAAACAATGTCTTGACACTTGTGATAATAATGTCTGTCACACACAATAGGATTCCAACTCAAGGACAACTGTTCACCAGACAGGGGAATCAATACATCACAGAACAAAAAGAAGTGAATTTCATTACAACAAAACTTGCAAATATGGCGGCCTGTTCACTCCCCCCTTCTCCCCTCCGTTCATCCAGCTCCACTAAGGCTGGCTGTTCCATCCTACCCAGTTGCGCGCCACGACGCGCCACACCTTGACCTCGCCGCTACGCAGGTCGTCCAACTTGTAGCTCTCCATCTTGACCTTCTTGTTCTCCCGGCCCTGCTCCCAGGCCCTCAGCTTCTTCTTCGTGCCGTCCCATTCGGCCACGATGGCTACGTGGTCCGGCTTACCCACCTCGGCGCTGTACTTGGCGTGCATCGCGCCGTGCTTGCCCTGGAACTTGCTATTGCGGAACGACACAATGTCTCCCGGTCGGATGACGTCGTGCTGCTGCGTGGAGGCATTGGCCATGTTCGAGTAGACGAGGGCGCCGTACGCGCGGGTTCCCACAGGCCACAGGGCACCATGCAAGGGCCGAAGCAGCTCAAGAACCAGACCTTGCGGCGAGCCGTCGCCAACTACGCTGTCCTTCTTGGCTGTCGCGGCCTCAACAATCTGACGACCGAATCGATCATGGAAGTCCTCCATTTCATCTTGACGCAAGGTGCGGGGAGGGCCTTCGTGCTTCTGGTCCAGCTCAACATCGGCAGGGTTATAGGGATCGAATCTGACAGTAAGGACCGTCTGTGAGTAATCTTGGTACAATACAAAGATTTCTCGCGCCACAATCGTCTTCGCCCCTTGACTGTTTGTCGTCGATTCCTCCGATTCGAAAAAGATATCACGGCGCCCCTGCAGCACAGGTGGAAGCTGGTTGGCCTGCTTCCACCAGCCACTCTGGATTGCCAGGTCAACGTCGTTGGCAATGAATCCAGACTCCAGTGACTGTCTGTGGAGATCCATGGAGCGCCTATTGCTAGTACTTGTTCGTGTACCCTCCATGGACTGGCGGCCACCAGATCTTGGGCCAGCTGGCGGCGGTTGTAGGCGTCGCTCAGTGGTGGGGGTCGCAGCGGGTGATGCGGCGGTATCTGCAAAGTATGCTTCCTCCTCGATCTTGGGGGCCTTACTTGAGCCTCCACCTGTCGTGGGAGAGGTGTAGTTGTAGGGGTCATAATCCTCCACAGATGGGACTGAGATTGGCGGCGGCGGAGGAGCGGCGCGGGGCACATCGACAGATCGCCGCTTGCTTTCTACCGGTGCAACCACGGGTACCGGAGGTGGGACAGCTCGAGGGGGTGAAGTAGGTGGGATAGGAGGGGGTCGACTTTGAGGAACGTCTGTTGTAGGCGACTGGAGCAAGCTGTCATCCACACTTGAATCACGGGCATGAGCTTTCAGTGCGTCCTTGTGGGGGGCCGAAGACGCGATGTCGGTATCGTAATCACCCTCATATTCGGTACTCTCCTCACCAGGCTCATCTCCGGCTGGTACGGGCCTAGATGGTGGAACTGGCGGGACATCAGCAGTCGACTGGCGACTAAGACCACCTGGAGGTGGTGGCGGGGGCGGTCGGCTGGCGACTGGGGGCAAGGCCGGTGCGGCACCTGGGATAGGAGGAGGCGGTCGGCTGTTTCGCTTATTTGAAGAGGTAGGGTCCTCAAAACGAGGAGACAAGGGTGGTGATCGCACCGGAAGTCGTGGAGACTGCGCCAACGCGGCTTCGGGTTGATCCCTGCCAGCAGAGAGCTCATCGTCCGATTCGGAGCCCTCGGTCGCAGACTTGATAGCGGGTGCGGGAGTTGGCACAGGTGGTCGTGGTGCTACAAAGATGTTAGTGAGGCGCATCCTCGTTGAGATGTACGTCTACTCACGCTCTGCAGGAACGGGGGGCGGCGCAGGGCGACCGGCAGGAACCGGGGGAGCAGCGCGCGGCACGTCTGAGCGAGAGGCCGGACCGGGCGTAGCGTCGTCGTCGTCGCTTTCTTCTCGCTCTGCGCCGTGTGGCTCGGGGATAGCTGGCGCCCGGCTAGGGACTGGCGGGGGAGACGGCAGGCCGGCGAGCGACTTCTCAGCTACCTCCTGATCAGCTTCGCGCTCCTGTGACTTTTTCAGACCTCCCATGCCGGGCAGAGCCATGGCGGTTGGGATCGGAGGCGCAGAGCGCTGTGTATCATCCGCACGGCGCTCTGCCTCCTCTGTCGCGGCCTTCTCTGGCTTGCTTCGCTTGGGTAGGCCACCAACAGGGGGCATGGGAGCTCCAAACATGCCGGCGAAACCCATGCCACCACTCATTTTGGCCATCCTCGCGCGAAGCTCTTCCTTTCGTCGAACTTCGGGATCAACTTCATCCTCATCCTCTTCCTCTTCTTCTTCCTCTTCTTCGCCTTGTTCCTCCCCGCCTCGCGGTTCCTCGACGGCCTTGTGCTGGTCGTCCTTAGCCGCAGGTGCGCGGGTCAGAGTGGGAGAGGTAGGGGCAGCCTCCGAAGCACGACGCTTAGATAATTCCTCCTCTTCCTCACGCTCCGATGTGTCATCTTGACCCTCTGTTGTATCACCTGCCCCGGACATGTCTGCTTCGTTACCATCATGAGGGGATTCAGCAGCCGGGCCTCGAGATGCCTTGCGCCTCGGCGGCGGCGGCATCTGGGCAGGTGCTTGCTCCTCTAGTGAGGTGCGGCCAATTGTGGTTTCGGTGTCTCTTCTTTCGAGCGGCGCGAGATCGGCAGGGGCTTCTTCCGCTTCTTCCGCGGGTTCGCTCGCTGATGCCTCTGGTTTCTTCTTAGCCGGTTTCTTGGGCTTATCCTTCCTAGCGGCGGCATCGGCGTGTCGCTGAGCCTGCTCCTGCTGTTGCTTTGCGAGCAAGGCAATGCGCTCCTTGAGGCTTGTCGGCTTAGGCTGTTCCTCTTCTTCCACACCGCCTTCATGCTTGCTCTCCGACGTGAACAGTCCAGCCTTCTCGGCCTGCTCTTGGTTCTGAGCCTCCTGCTCTCTGATTTCGGGGTCTTCGGATCTGCGATAAATCTTTGGGGTCACCTGCTCCCGTGGAATGGGAACGTAGGCGTCGCGGCTGGGGGGCGGCGGGACGAACGGCTTCTTGACAAAGCTTGAACCACCAAGACCACTGGGCTTGAAAGGCGCAATGGGGGCTGCGGAGGGTTTGTTGAAGGCAGCAATGCGGTCTTTGAAAGAGCTGCTGCTCGGCTTGTCGGCAACGGGCGGGGTTCCGGAAGGCTTCGGTTTCGGGGCCGGGGCTGAATCCGCGGCCGGCGTCTCGCGCGGGGCAGGCTTTGGGGGTTGGTCGATGTTTTTGGCGGGAGCCTTTGGTGATGTGGCGGCGGCCGCGGCGAGGGCAGGCACCGGCACTGGTGGCAAGTTTGGCTTCGGTGATTTTTGCTCCTCTACTTCTGGCTCAGGTTCGGGCTCATCCCTCGGGAGAGGGGGAGGGGCTGAGGACGTAGTCGGGGAAGCGACAGGCACCGGCACTGGCGCTGGCTTCTCTGACTCGGGCTCGGGTTGTTGCGGATGGGTTGGAGCATCCTCTGACTTTTTCGGTCGTGTCCGGGTAGGGCGGGGAGGCGGCGTAGGTTCGAACTTTTCGACAAAGTTGCGAGGGAAGATGCCTTCCTTCTTGGTGCCATCGTCATCGACGTATTCGCCACCGTACCACTCGACATCCTCCTCGTCGGTGACGGTGATGACCTGGCCAATGGGAAAGTTGAGGTCGTCCTCATGGGGCGACGTGTACTCATACAGAGCTTTGACCTTGAACGGAGCGGCCATGGTGAATTGCGGACGTCTCACAGGACACGACGGCCTGTCCTCCAGCTGCTGGCGCGTCGGGGCAGATCAGTTGAGATGTTTTGTTGGCGAGTTTCGTTAGGGGGGGGAGGAAGAAGGTGGGGCGAGGCTGCCTGGCGAGCGGCGACGACCGGGAGGAAGAGCCAGGACAAAGACGAATGGAGCTGAGTTGTCAAAAGCAAGAGGGAGGGGCGTCTGCAGATGGCGGGAGAAGAACGAGCAGCAAGGTGCAGGTTCAGTGATGGGGCATGAATGGGAATGGCGCAGGCAGACTTGCGGGCGATGGGCAAAGAGATGAGTGAGGAGGCTCAGCCAGTTGCGGGAAGCTCTACTGTGGGATGTGGAGAGGCGGCGACGTCAGCGAGGGAAGGCGGTGATGCCTCAGCCACTGAAGCTCCAGGCGGGGCCAGCGGGAAGCCCCCACGGTAGGCGTCTAGGTACTTTGTCTTGTGTAGGCAGATTTTATGCGCTGAGCAGGCATAGCATGGTAGTTTCGAGATCGGGGCGTAGTGCAGGCAGCTCAGACAAGTCTTTTTTCTGTGCTGTGTTCCTACAGACAGCGCCGAGTCGAAGAACAATGAAAACAACTGAAACCACGGGGGCAGAATTAGCGGGGGAGGGCCTCCAGCCACCAAGATCGTCCGAGGTGCGTGCTTTGGCCACAGCGCCACATTTGGTGACGATTGTGTGGCGGTGCTCTAACTAAATACCCTGCATAGAGAGAGAGAGAGACTCGGTGATGTCCCGTCGACATGTGCATGAACAGCAGGGGCATCAAACTCGTCAGCGATAAGGATGGTGTTATGCAGTGTGATTTAGGTGTTGATAACCATATTTAGCGACACGTTGAAACTGCCAACGCTACTAATATGTCTTGGTTTCATATCTGTGGCAGATGGGCTCTGTTATGAACTGCAACTCTTAATGGAGCTCATATGAAGGTCATCCGCTAATCGTTCATCCAATACTTACCGAGCCAATGGCGTGAGCTTTGATTAACTACGCCTATTTTATCCCGAATTTATTTAAATTGGCATGTCAACTCTTTTGTTTAAGCAGGGCTCACCCGCTCGCTTCTGGTCCGCGTCATTCGGAAGTTTTCGGTTGTGATCCGCTTCATTAGAGCTTACTCTCGACTATTCTATTTCATTTATTTTACAAAGAGAAACAAATGAAAAGAATTCTTACTCGAGAAAAAAAATTACATGACTAAATCTTCTTCGAAAAAATATTTTTCATAACTTATTTCCGTTACCTACCCCCGTGTAATTGTATATGAGCAATACTTGTGCACAACACTCTTGAACCTAGAGGCTTTTATACATGTTCATGATGATAATTATTTAATTACTTATTTATGTACTATAAAATAAACTTTTCGTCACTTAAGCGCCCTCAGCCCATCCAAGGCGGTTGTTGCCGTCATCGTAGACGACGAAGCCCGACTTCAAGGCAACGTCACCCCAGATGGCCAGGTTGCCTGGGATGCCGCCGATACCACCGACGCAGGTGTTGCCGTCGTTGGGAGCAAAGTTGAGGTTGTCGCTGTGGATGGTGATGCGACCGCTGCCGACGCCGAACGAGAAGGTGGGCAGGCTCGTGCTGCAGTCAAAGACGTAGAGGTACTGGCCCGCGGAGACCTCGACCTTTTGCGCCGAGTCGACGTGGTTCCAGTAGTCGTCGGCGATGTCGGTGGGCAGGTAGACGATGGAGGTGCCCGTGTCGGCGGTGCCGTTGATGATGCGCTTGTTGAGGGCGGCGCCGCCGACGGCGTAGCCACCCGCGTTGAAGAGGCGGTGGCCGAGCGTGTCAGTGAAGGCGGGCGTGTACGAGATGGCGCCGGTGTACTGGGCCTTGTCGATGTAGCCAAAGTTGTAGGACCCGACCTCCTGGTGCTTGAGGCGGGCGGTGAAGAGCGGCTGCGCGAGGCGGCTCTTGATGTTGGAGAACCACGTCTGCTGCTTGGTCGGGGTGACCGAGTTGCCGATGTCGTAGGCGAGGCCGAGCAGGCCGGAGCTGCCCGAGTCGGCGGTGAACTGCGACGAGACGTCCTGGGCAGACTCGACCGCCTGGCCGGTCACGGTGGCGGAGCCGACCTTGACCGTGTCCAGGTAGACGATGCCGTTGCTGTGGCTCTCGTCGCCGTAGGTGACGCGCCACTTGGCGCCCTGCAGCTGCTTGGCCGAGGTCGACTTGGCGGGCTTGTACAGCGTCTGGCCCTTGACCTCGGACGACTTGGTGTCGGTGCTGAACACCCACAGGTCGCTGGAGCCCGTGTCAAAGTCCAGCTGCAGCTTCTGCGGCGGTGTACCAATGTTGACCTCGGCGAGGTAGGAGGTGTCGACACCGGGGGTGCTGCCGTGCGGGTTGGCGCCGACGGTGGCGTTCTCGCCGCGCAGGCTCAGCGGCACAGCATCGCGGCGCGCCTGCAGGTCGGCCTCGATGGCCTCGATGGTCTCCGGAGTCGCGTACTTGCGCAGGACGTAGTGCGCGTCGGCGATGGGGTGTCGCTGGACGGGGTTCTTGTGCGCGGGCACGCTGAAGGTGAGGCCAGAGGCCTCAGCCGGTGCGGCAATGGCGGTGCCGGCGGCGGCGGCCAGAGCGACGAGAGTACCAGCGGTCTTCATTGTGTCTTGGGTGGAGGTGAAGAAGGGTTGTAGAAGAAGGAGGAAGGGGGTGACTGATGCAGATGCCAAGAGATATCATCTGCCAAGAGACGGCGGGAGATCTCAGCCTATTTGTAGTCACGGCCGAGAGGCGTCACTTGGCACTCTCTTGGCTGAGGGTCCTGTCAACATCATATCACGAAGCTCCTGGTGAGTCATGACCCGCGGTATTCAGGGCTGGGAGGGAGCACAGGACACTGTCACTGTGTAGTACGCCTTGACAAAACGGCGGGCTAGCCCACCAGGGCAGCTGTTGATCATTTGAGGTAGGTCAAAGAGAGATCAGCAAGGTGAGCACCTCGGCAAGAACGCACAGCTCTCCTCTCAAAGGCCAATAAGCATGCTGGATGTGGAAGGTCAGGTGCTTCATCACGACATCTGTGCCAATGTGACAAAGCCGGGAGCCTCACCCTTACCCACAGCGGGGACTCGTGATGATGGCGCAACGGGAGTCTGAAGCAAGGTTCCCTTGTTCCCTTGTTGTGATTTCGCGGGGAACACGATGGAACGAATAGAAGGTGGCACGGACGGTCAGGACCGAGAGCCAATTCTCGGTGAGCGAGTTGCGGCTCCCCACATGTATTTGCGCATTGATGTAACCCAAACAAGTAGGAGGTTTCCTGGCTGCGAATAAGCGAAAAGTAACAATAATAAGCTATTTGGTAGAAGTGATTGTGAGTGGATGGATAGATGGTCTGGCGCTAGACAGCTGCCATGTTGGGAGATGGCGCCACCGAGGTTCGGGTCAAGGTGATTAATGAAGTTGAAGGGTGACGGGGGATTTTCTCGGCATAACGGCATGATGGCGGTCGAGATGACGATTGTAACAAACCGGGTATTGTTGACGCGATTGAGGGCTGAGAGAAAACGTGGCGGGTTGATACGAGGATGGAGGAAGTCTTCTGTTCTCTTGTGAATGCCGTTGGGGTTGGTTGAGTGAATGGCAACGGGCGGTTAGCATCTTGGTGATCGGCAGGATAACATGGATGGTTAATTATGCAGCTATACAGGGATCTTAGGTGGTCGAGCTGAAGACCGAGGTGTTGGTAATTGTCATCGGCTTTCCCCTTGCCGACCTACCGAGATGGTGCCTTGGCGAAGTTGGTGTGTCGGATGTTAGTTAGCGTCGTAAAAGATAACAGGTAAAATGCTGATGTAACCTGTGTAGTTGTACCGAGCGAAGCCTGAGTCGTATTTGCCTTGTTATTCGCCCGAGTAAATCCGTACAAATAGCGTGGCACCAACTCAACACAAGACCAGATGACAAGGTACAGGGTAGGAATACGTGCTGTGATACAACTGCAGTGTTAGCCAAGATCTTCCAATCAGCTCTGTGATGTGATGTTGTCAATGATCCTACCTTTTGCTTAGATAACTTCCTACCACCAACAACCGGGACGCTTGTTCTTCCACCCAACCACAATCTGGCCCGTGTCATGACGCCACCGACATCACAACAGCTACAGCGATGGTCTCATCGCACCTTTCATTCCCTTCATCTCCCAACGTTGTTTCCGTGTTTCCTTTCATCTGGAAAACAATCATGAGCAACCTGGTTAGCCAGGATATTCACCAGGGTATCTTTCTGCAGCAACACGCGCTGTTGCACATCGCAGAAACAGAGACAAAGTTAATGGCCGGCCCGCCCAGCCACTCCGCGGAAGACCAAGGAAAAAGGAGCCAAAATGGCGCAGCCCCTTTCTTTCACTGTAACCGGTAACTAACTATGTCTGCAATTACTGGATACCGATCGGCACGATGCGGGGTTCATCACTGTGGCGGTGGCACTTATTACAGGGCTGTTACGGCCGCCGCCGCCTGAACCTCTCCTCTTGTTCTTGGCGAGATCTTTGACTTTGATTGTGAGTTTGACTTTGACCTGGTGCGTATATTCGTCTTCAATTCTTGGTGCGAACAAGAAATTCTTTTCAGTCCGCGAGACAAGCTCTGGTTACACTCTATCTGGTGGGTGACTGTGACTGCTTACCAGGGTAGCATGCAGTCCGTGGCAATGTGACGTCTACCAATACAAGGCATCTTATCTTATAACCCAACCAGGACCCCTTTGGCGTCATACAATGATTTCATTCCTCCCGTAGATCTGCCCGTATACCCCTCACCCGGGCACATCTGGCACACCTGGTGACGAATCAAATCCTCCAGCTACCTAGTAGTGCCACCACTCAGAGCTCGACCATGCTACCAAGGTGCAGGCGACTTTCTGCTACCGCTGCTACTGCTGTCAGAGTCACATCCGCATGTGCCGTGGTGGGCGTGAGACGACCTGTATGTATGCCTCCGTATCCTCGAGCAGCGTCCCGGTCCCTGTATCATCAAGATACTTCCCCTCATCACCAACCACAGACGACCTCGAGCACGACCTCGTCCACCATCATGGCCGAAGCGCTCCTTGAATCCCTCCGCGCCTCCGGCGTGCGTCTCATCACGCCCACCGACGCCACCTTCCCCGACCTGTCCGACAGCTACACCGGCCCCGGCCCCTCCCCCTCCCAACCCCC